GCTCGTTTTTAATAATATTCATGCCGTTTATCCTCAGTCAGTACTTCTGTAACTTCTAGAGCTTCTAAGTCTAAAGACCTTTTATTTATTTATTTATTTATTTATTTATTTATTTATTTATTTATTTATTTATTTATTTATTCTCTCTCTTCCAGTTTTCTCCTCCTGTTTTTTTTTTTTTGGTCGGTGCTGAAATTCTGACCTTTAAAGTCATTAAAGGAACTGTTTTAATCTGTCTTGACTTGGTTCTTCTTCTCTTGGCCACTAGATGGCAGCATTGGATGAGTTCTGGTTCTGCAGAGGCGTGCAGGATGTGTTTAGGACAGATGTGGTTTGATCCTCTCAGCAGGATGTATTGTTGCTGTTCTCTCTTAAAGGCTTTCCTCCGGCTGTCATCTCATCATGTCGGTTAATATTTGAGTTGCGGATCAGCCCAGTAGAACCGGTTCTAACGGAGCAGGTGTTAATTGGAAAGCTTATTTAAACAGTTGTGGTTAGAGCTGGCTCAGTTGATCCGGTCTGCTGGACCTGATTGTTCAGTCGGTGTCGTCATGCCGACATAGTGAGTCGGGTTTGTGGGGATCGGCTCCCGGCCCAGAAGAACCGGCACCCTGTCATTACCGCCTCGGCTGCCAGATGTTCCCAGCAGCCTCAGGTGGATCTGTGACCTTTGACCTGATTCCTCCTGGCTGTTGGGGGCGTGGTTTCCAAGCCGCTCCTCCCACAGGCTCCGTCTCCTCCAGGAGGGAGCAGAACCCTCAGAGGCTCAGTCTGAGCTGACGTGGGCCGAGGTCTGAGCCAGGAGCAGCTGGAAGCCATCATTCCTTTACGAGCTTGAAGCAGACCCAGGCTCTGCAGCATGGAGCTCCTCGGCGAGGCCCGGCTCCTCTGGGTGCTGCTCCTGGTGCTGGCCACCTTCCTCATCTGGCTCTTCTTCTTCTGCTGCTACAGCTGGAACCACAGTTCATCTCCCTCCCTGGAGACGTACCTAGCAGGTAGGTGGGCCCGGAAGCTCCTCCCATCAGGAGCCTCAGGCTGATTCACTGACTCAACTCTGTGGAAGAAAATCATCACTTTCCTTTCCAGCATGGTGGGGCCACATTTTTCCAGAACCTACAGGCTCATTTAGGCTCCACTTTGTGGTTCTGATGGCTGGTACCAGAGGGAGGGGGGACAGAGGCTCTTTCTGCTCTGAACCACAGGAAAATGTTATTTATAGAGAACTGGGAACGCTGGGCTGCAGTTTCCCATTTTATCCCAGATCTGTCTGTAATGAATGAATCATTTTACTGGATATTTCTACTGGTTCATCCCAGGTGTTCCGTAAAACCCAAAGGTTCTGCCAATGTTCTGAAAATGTTCTCTTTTCCTCACAGTGATGCTGAAGAAGTCCAAACCCAAAGCTGCGGCTCAGGTGAGAGGAATCCTGCATCAGTGGCTTCATTCAAACTCTCATCTCACGTTCTTTAAAAAACAGTTCTGTTCAGCCCGGTTCTGTTTGGCCCGGTTGTGTTTGGCCTGGTTCTGTTTGGCCTGGTTGTGTTTGGCCTGGTTCTGTTCCTCCCGGTTCTGTTCGGCCCGGTTCTGTCAGCTCTTCCAGCTGATGCTGTAGTACCAGCTGTGAACTGCAGGGGGCCTCAGTCCTTCATGCTTTCAGAGTTCACATCATCCTTAAGATGTTTCTCACTTTGGGTTCAGTTAGAAGAACCACGTGGTTCTGGTTCAGTTCGTCATGAGTAGAACCAAATAGAAACTCATTGAACATGAATTAACAAAAACAGGGAGAGAAAGGAGGAAGCATGTGAGGTGGACCTTCCTGACCCGTTTACCTGATGAATCTAGAACCTTCCTTAAACGTGTCTGAAGCGTTCCTGCAGCTCTCGTTCTTCTCCTCCTCTGACCTTCACACCTTCCTGTTAGTTAAAGTTCTACTTTGCTTCTTCAGGCGTGTTTTCGGCTCGTGGTCTAAATTATTATCCGTTCAGTCAGTTTGTTTTCCGTCAGGAACCAGAAATAAAACTGAAACATATACCAGAAAAACAAGTTATTCGGTTAACAAACCATTTATCCGCTTTGTATTGTTCACACAAAATGAAAATGGAAAAAACAGGAAACGTGTGTTGATGAATGACCCGGAACAAAACCGCATTAGATCAGGTGAAGACCTGAACTGGTCTTTAAAAGGGACCTGAACTGGACCTGAAATGATCCTTAAACGGACCTAAACTGGACCTGAAATGGTTCTTTAAAACGGACCTGAACTGGTCCTTAAAAGGGACCTGAACTGGTCCTTAAAACGGACCTGAACTGGTCCTTAAAAGGGACCTTAACTGGTCCTGAACTGGTCCTTAAAAGGGACC